AGGTATATATGGAAAATAGCCTTTTCCCACATCTCTATTTCATTTTCTTTAGAATTTGAATGCGAAAGCGAATTGTGGTGTGAAACAGAATATATATATATATTAAAGTTTTATTTTTTTTCACAATTTTTTTCACTGAGATCCTTCTTTTGTCATATGTCACAAGATAATGAAGGAACGCACTAGCACCTATCACCTTACAAATTGAATTAATAACAAATAATTAAAAAATAATAATAATAAAGAAGAAGAAGAAGAAGAAGCAGTAGTTTAGTATAAGTAAAATTAAAAGTGAAAAACTTAAATAAAAAATAAAAAATATTGGATAGTTTTTTTCAAATAATAAGCATACCAATGAAACGATGAAGTTTTAACTCATTTAAATCAGATTTTTAATCATAAAAATTAATATGTTAGTAGATAAAAGCATAACTTTTTTTAAGTTTCGGCTAAAGAATAAAAAATTTTATAATATTCAAAAAGTAATTGATAACATTTATAATAATTACTCTATAGATCCATTTTTGAAAGAGATAAATACATAAAAAAAGAGATAATTACATCCGAACTCATCAAAAAATAATAAAAAAATTTTCATATTTGCTTAATTTTTTTTTAATTTTAATTTTTTTAATTTTTTTGTCTATCTCTCTCTTATAAAGTGGATTAATAGAATAACTATTATACATGTCACTAATTACTTCTTATTAAGTATTATAAAATTTCTCATTAAACAACATTATTTTTAGATAACCAGAAAAGGAATGGTTCACACGTAACTCCCTCAATCAGTTGTGTTTTTTTTTTTTTTTCCTTCGAATAAATAGTTGGTTATTATTATCATTATTATTATCCTTGTTTTTTCCCTTCCTTTGTTTGGCATTAGACAACTAGAGGAGGAGTGGTGCACTCGTGACTCTTGCTCTTTAATTCCGATAAGGCGATTACCAGTCTTCTTGAAACACTGACAAAAATAATAATTTTTTTTTAACTAAAAATAATTATAAGCGCTGCAAGAAGAAGTTAGTACTAGCTAAATTCGTTTCAACTACAAAATCAAAGGGTTTGTTGAGGTCAAAATTATACAACGACGTGACTCAAATTGCTTGTGCAAAGTTCATCTTAGAAGATATGATAAAAAAAAAAAAAAAAAAAAAAGGTTCATATTAGTCGACACAACCCTTTCTTTCAGAAACCATACGTTCGTACTTTACTGCACCCAAAATATGGTCTAGATTGGTACATTTTAGTGGCAAGAAAAAAAAAAAAAAAGAATTCCCATCTAGAAGAATTGCTTACAAAAAGACAAGATAAGCTAATTCTTTTTTTTAAAAAAAAATTTATATATATCAAGAACTTATATAATTCGAATTTTTTTGATTGAAACATTTAAGTTTTTTTTCCCTATTCAATTTAAGAGTTCTATATTATTATTTCGGATACTAATGTGTCATATAAACACACATGACAAGCTTTAATCAATAACAATTTACCACATGTCATGATAAGTCTAAATTAGATGATTGAATTAATTATGTTGTAAGTTATCATTAACTAGAGCTTGTCGCATAATCAATTTGTGATTACGTGATATGTTGTCATTGGATAGAGTTTGAAACTCTTATGTTGGATTAAGATCTTAATAAAAAAAATCTTAATTATACAAGATCTCGGATAAAATCTATAAAAAAAATCATTCAGATGATTTTTAAAGCCTTGAAAGTAAAAATTCACCAATAATATTAATAACAGGAGTATAAAATAAAGAGAAATTAAGAATTAGAATCTGAATTAGTGACCACTCATCACACACCGACCTCAACAAAACAGCATAAAGTCGTTTTCAAAAAGCCTTGTTTTCTTCCACGCTAGCTATATCCTCCTCTGCACCCATCAAAATGGACTTTTTTCCACCTTTCTAATAAAAACAAAATCATCTCATTTTTGTTCTTCTCAGAAATCATTTTCTCCTTGCTTTACACAACAGAAGAAAAGACGAGTAAGAACATATGTTTTATGGGTTCGCACCGAATTTCAAAACTGTTGTTGCCTCTTACCCTTAACATATCCAATATTGGCTTACCAGGTCGTTCACATACGAGATCGATCCACCATTCCTTACCCTTTTTCCGACTGTGAAATATTTTTTAAGACTAATTATAATAGTAAATTTTCTTGTTTTCAAAAAGTATTTTTTTTTTTATATATGTCTGTTCATCACAGGTGTTTACAGTCGACACTTATCTCTTAATTCTATAAAATTTCTTTTACCCACTGTTGCTCTTTTAGGTTTTAATTGAAAACTGAGATGATGGTTGCCATTTTCAAATTTTAATTCCTAGTTTATCAACTTTTAATTTTGAATTTAAACTTTATAAACTATTTTTTATTTAAAATCTAATCTTTCTTCATATTTTTTTTTTGTAAGGTTTCATTCATTTATTTACAGAATTTCTATATAAAAATCACATGACTTGTAAAAGAAAATAGTAATATTTTATGGAATAAAGAATGAAAATAGCAAAAACACAATTAAAAAGTACAAATTAATTACTTTTACCAAGAAATGAGGTCTAGTATTAAGAGGTTTTCTTCATTTGGCCGATACCAATGTTCATTTTCCACTAGCCATGGATAATTAGCAATAATTATTTTTTAATGATATTATATTTGAATTCATTTAGTTTAAAAAAGAGTCAAATAATCGATTAAAAATTAAATATATTCTGATATTAATTTGGTTCAGAAAATGATAGATTTAGTTCCAAGTTAATGCGAAAACTAATCCGAGAACACTTCACTATCTATGAATATAAAAAATTAATAATTATTTTTCTAATTGTTTTGTAACTTTTAGGTGCAACAATTTGTTATTTTATGGATGGAATTTTGCAAAAACTTTTTTTTCTTTTAAATACTGATTTTAAATGTAACATAGTTTAGAGCAATCGAATCTAAATTCATATTTAAAAAATTAATTTTCAAATGATTTCAAAATTAAAAAAAAAAGGCACCCATTTAATAAAATATACTTTTTTCTTTGTCACTTAATTGGAACTATTAAACATTAGTTTCAAGATCGAATGATCTTAAATCTAAAAGAGAAAGAAAATTTATAACTCAATAATTCCAAAAAAGTCAGCAATATAGCTCAATGGATCCTCTTTTTTCAACCAATAAGTACTTAGTCTAATGATAATAAGATTTTTATGCTTATAAAAAATTAGGGATTCAAAATCTTCATTGTGAAATATTTTTTTATTTTTTTTATTTTAAAAATCTCATTATAAAAAGAGATTAGAATAACTCCTTTGTTTTTATAGCAATGATTAATTTAGCATGTCTTGCTAATATGAATTTTCTTTTTTTGCTAAGCTAACTACTGCCACTAATGTTAATTGCTAATTGCGGATTATGAAATTCTATATATGACAAAAATAAAAAAATAATAATAATAAAAAGAAAGAAAAGAAGAAGGAAGAACAAGATAGATAGTTAATGCTTGTTGTGTCGTTGGACGTGATGATGGCAGTAACAGCCAAGAACAACAACTGCCTGAATAATAAAATGAATCAAATGCAGAATATTGTAGTATTATAATGCCGCAAGCAATAACTCTCACATACTAAATTAAGCAAAAGAAAAAAAAAAAAAACCAGAAAATTCCTCTCTAGCAAATGGGTTGTCTTCGAATTGAACTCTTTCACCCTCCATATAAACACTCTATCTCTTCCTTTGAATTACTTGTCTTCCCTCTTTCCCTTTCTTTGTTGTTGATCTTTAAATATTGATTCTCTCTGCTTCTCTCATCTTTTACTCTAAATTCTAATCCTAAAAACCCTTGTTTCTTTGATGATTTCATCTCTCTCTCTTTCTCTCTCCTTATAACCGTCCCTTCATTTACTTCACACTTCTTTTGACTTAGACTTGACTTGGAATTACCTTTGCTGGTACGCCTCTCTCTTTGCCTTACTTCTCTTCTCTCTCTCTCTGTTTTGGTGTATATATCTTTTGTCTGAACAACATTTCTTGGAACATTTTTGGCTTTGCTTTGTTGAGTGTGTATCCATTTTGTGTTCTTTTAACTTTTGGATTACTTACCAATCTTATCCGCGTCACTGTATTTTCTTTGTCCCTTTTGGCTAATTTGGTTAAAGCTCTCATCTTGATAAATTGATTTTGTTATTGGGGTTGATTTACTTTCTCTTGTTTTGATCAACTGGTGATACAAAACTTTTCTTTGATCTCAAACTGGAATACATCTTTTGAGGTTGGTGGATATATAAACTGTTTCTTGCTTGAATTTGAATCATGGTTATATTAATTCATTTATGGAATCTTGATCAAGTTCGATTCATGGCATCAAGATGTTAAGTTTTCATCCGGTTTTCTTTGTCTTTCTATTACCCCATTTTTGGAACCTAAATCCAAGCCATGGCAACCATATTTCTGGGTTGATATCATCTTTAATCTTTTGTGACTGGAGATTGATTGTTTTTGTTAGTTTTTATCAATTTCATGGCACATAAATGGTTAATTGTTCTTATTTATCATCTGGGTAAAAACTGTTGCCGCTTCTGTGTCTGTTAATGTAGATTTAATCATTTCCTAATAGTATAAAAATTTGTTGATGGTTCTGACCCTCAGGGGATTTGTGCTTTTAACAAGCTTTATCCATATTCACTCATCTGTTTACTGTTGAAAACAAAATTGTTTGTTCTATGTTTTTTAAATATGATGAATTAATGTATGTTCAATCATTTCCTAGTAGTATGAAAAATTTGTTGCTTGGTTCTGACTCTCAGCGGATTTGTTTTTTAACAAGCTTTATCCATATTCACTCATCTGTTTGCTGTTGAAAACAAAATTATTTGTTTCATGTTTTTTAAATATGATGAATTCTACATACTGGTATTTTGATTGCTGGTGATAATCTGGCGTTTTTAACTGTTCTTTTCTCTCAACGATGGAATTTCAGGTTTTGTAAAGGTCTTTGATCCATGTTCAAAGCAAAAGAGTTAGAGAATGAAGATGGAAGAGGGGATGTAAGCAGAAACGAACCCGATCCTAGTGAGAAAAGGATGCTGGCAAAGGACTCTAGTAATAGTTTTTGGATTACTTTCAATTGCCCCCTAATGAAAAAGTTTGCTGTTTGTGAAAATAGTAGAAGAGGAGCGGGGTGTTATGATTTCTCTTGCAGCAATGGCGGAGTTGGTGATTCCTCAAGTGTACAACCTCAGGATGCAGATTACTCCTATGTTCCCCAACTCAGTGATGAGCTAGAGAATCTGATTTTGGCAAGAGTTCCGAGATCAGAGTACTGGAAGTTTCCAATCGTGAACAAGCGGATACTCTCTCTTGTAAGGAGTGGTGAGCTCTTTAAGATTAGGAGGGAAATTGGTGTTAGAGAATCGTCTGTTTTTATTTTTGCAACTGGGGATAAAAGTTGGTGGGCATTCGATCGACAATTCGGCTCACGCAGGAAGCTTCCAGATTTACCAGCAGACTGTTGTTTCTCTTTCGGAGATAAGGAATCCCTTTGTGCCGGAACCCATCTGATTATTTCAGGCAGGGAGATAGAAGGTGTTGTTGTTTGGAGATATGAATTGGAAACAAATAGATGGAATAAGGGTCCTTCCATGATTAACCCTAGGTGTTTGTTTGCTTCTGCTTCCTGTGGTGCCTTTGCTTTTGTAGCTGGTGGAGTGACTGGGACTGGTGTTGATGTTCTAAATTCTGCAGAGAAATATAATCCAGATACTAAATCATGGGAAGACCTTCCAAGGATGCATCAAAAAAGAAAGCTTTGCTCTGGTTGTTTCATGGATAACAAGTTTTTTGTCATTGGAGGGCGGAACGAGGAGGGAAATGTTCTGAAATGTGCTGAAGCCTATGATGAGGATAAAAAGGCATGGGAGCTGATCCCAGACATGTTGGAGGATGCACCGATTGCTACTTTCCAGTCTCCACCCCTAATTGCTGTTGTTAACAATGAGCTTTACTCCCTCGAGCCTTCATCAAACCAGCTGAAGTTATTCTTGAAAAGGAGCAAAACATGGAAGCAATTGGGACCAGTGCCAGTAAGAGCAGATTCTAACAAAGGATGGGGTGTAGCATTCAAGTCTCTGGGCAACGAACTACTTGTAATAGGTGCATCTACATCCACAGTTTCTTATTCTGGGGATGGCATGGCCATATACACCTGCAGTCCGGATTCCGAAGCTGAGGAATTGCTATGGAGGCCTCTTGAGTGTGGCAAAAACAGGCTGAGTAACTTTATATTGAACTGCTCTGTCATGGTAGCTTGAATTTTGACTCTCCTAGGCGGTAACTCTATAGAGTTGTGATACGAGCATCTAATAATAGCTGCATTTGAAATTAGCATTTGGCACACTAGATGCTTCAATATATATATATTTACAATATATCCTCTGGTATTTCGTGAGGTGTCTCTCCAGATTGTGTGATGGATATGGGTATTTAGCCTGTTAAGTGTGTTGTTTGTACTCTTATTCTCAGTGACTTTGGATCTTGGCATGTTGAATTGTGTTCTGGCTTTGATTTATAATCTGATAACACAGCTTGTCATTTTGTTCGATATCAGAGTAATGAACATATAGCAACGATTATGACCTTTATACCAATGAGTTTTGGTTCGATTTGTTAGAACTCGTGATCACTTTTTCAAGACATGGAGATGAAACTGAATTGGGATATTTGTGATTCTAACCGTTTGTTGAACTTTTTTTCCCCTTTATTTCTATTACCATCAGAAAGTGCAGATTTGGTACGTTCCAATAGGGTATTTTCAACAAAATCGTCCATAAAATAAGAAACGAAAGGAGGGGAGAATATAAAGCGATGCCACACCGAAACAAGCTGAATTGTTGCCCAAGCAAATCGCATGGAGAATTGTCACATTCCAAGGTCATCACCGATTCTTGATTTGCAACAGTTTGCTGGTTTGACTCCACTGTTAATTCCTGAAAATGAATTTTCCACTAACCACAGGAACGTAACCAAGATGATTTCGTAGGTTCTTTCAAATTTACTGCAGGAATGCAAAGCGAATATACAATCAGCAGTAGAGATATACTTCGTAGGTGCTGACTGCTGATGTAACCCTAGATACAGTCGACTGCAATTTTTTAACACCAACCATGTTGTTTTGTCTTGTCACCTTTTTCCTGATGAATTATATATATATAGATGACTCATAACACGGTTCTTGATACAAATAGGTATCCTATCAGGAAGAAAAACCTCACTGTAGAGCTTGCGCTGTCTTGAGGTTTTTCTTCCTGATAGGACACCTATTTGTATAAGAACCCTGTTATGAGTCATCTTTTTGATCGTTTTTCTTGTGTAATGTTTTAAAGGCACCCAGATCGAGATGTCAAAGAATTTCAAGCAGTCTTTTATGTTGTACACATAGATTGTCGTTTCAATAATCCCATAGATTGCTTTAAGATGCCGACAATGGTTTAGTAAATTATCTCCTCCTTGACTGGCCCTTCCTTTTCGGACAAGGAACTTAATAAGGCATTGTCATCACAAACATGAAGCAAAAGGAAAAACTTAGTAAATGCATTAGTTCGTGGCCTGGAGAAGAGAATGAAAAAGGAAAAGATGTGCGAATAAAACATGAAAAAGATTGTTTTGTAGCATCATTTACTGAACCTTTAGTCACTGGCACTGCCTTCAAAGGTTCACCCAAGAACAATGCAATTACTTTCCCTGACGTTGACGAGAGACTTGTTCACATAGGCAACAAGCCCCTGCTTTTTTATCAGGTTTTAACATCAATAGAACACAAAATTAAGCACCCCATTACTTCATAACATCCAAACTTCAACTTCATACAATAACAAAAATCTTTGAATATTCAGGATCCATTTATAGTCATGTTCTTGCCACTTCGTTTCATGGCACGCACGACTGACCCTAATAGAACAAACCGATTTAAGTTTCCATGAATTTCAAGGGCAGATAGAATCAACTACCAAAGGAGTATCCAAACAAATACACCAAATTTTGCCTCAACATAAGTGTACATACAAATCCAACACTAAAAATTGTTAAAAATCGCTTAAAATTGAAAACAAAACAAAAGAAAAGAAAAGTGGAAAGGGATATTTTGTTTCTTATTTACATTTTTTTTGGTTCATTGTCCTACTCCAGTAGAAACAATAATACAGCTTGAAATTTGAAACCAAAAAAAACAAAAAGTGAATCCTGCAAAATTGTAGCATCATTTACTGAACCTTCGGTCACCGGCAATGCCTAAGAGGCTCACCCAAGAACAATGCAGTTAGTTTCCCTGACATTTACGAGAGACTTGTTCACAAGGCAACAAGCCCCTGCTTTTTTAATCAGGTTTCAAAACAAGATAAAATCAAGCACCCCATTACTTAAGAACTGGCAAACTTCAACTTTGTAAACTCAATATGCATCAAGTGAGTTTATAAATGCAAAACGCATCAAATATAACTAGATCAGTATCAGTACCAAAGCCAGAGGTTAGCGCCACTGCCAACTGTTGTTGCGTTGTGAGCTAAACCCTGACTGCTAGGGTTTATGCAAAAGGCTTGCCTTTTATAAGATTTGCAAGAGGTTAATGATATGTCATCCCTGTAATATAATAAATTATTTAATCAGGTCTTTCTACTAATTTAAGAGTTAATGGAGTCCTCTGCTGCAGCCATTTACTTAATGCGTTCCCTCCCTTGATAACGACGTTGACAGAAGACACTAAATTCGCTAATCAAGCAACTCATGTCTTTTGACTTAGTTGAGCCGTAATTTCTGAATTTTCTTTTTCCTTTTCTTAATAAGAGAAAATTTTTATAAGGTTGAAAATAAAAAGAAAGAAAGAAAGAAAATTGAAAAAACTGAATTTTAAAAATTTATAATTAAAACTTTCGGATTATATTTTACTACAAAATTAAGCAGGAAAAAAAAAAAAAGTTCTTCTTTCTCTTTCTCATATCATTACTATATATCTAAATCAGATTGGGAGTTTGAACAGTAAAAATCACTGTTCATCCTCTCATAAATCACTATTTATTCTTATTGCAAGTTTTTTTTTTTTTCACTATACATGCTTTTTTTTCCTTTGCTTTTTTTCATCAATTTAGATTTTTTTTTGTTTAATTTTTTTTAAAAATTCATTATTCATTCATGTAGTTAGGTTTTTTTTTTTCAAGTCGTTTCACTATACATGTTTTTTTTTTCCTTTGCTTTTTTTCATCAATTTAGGTTATTTTTTTTTGTTTAATTTTTTAAATCACTATTTATTCCTCGTAGCTAGGTTTTTTTTTTAAAAAAAAAAAGTTGTTTCACTATATATGCTTTTTTTTCTTTGCTTTTTTCATCAATTTAAGTTCTTTTTTTATTTAATTTTCAGATTGTATCATTTTGGTTTCTAAAATTTTAAAATCGTTTTAAAATTTTAATCCTCTAACCGATGCACTACACATGCCTTTTTTTTTTTACTTTGCTTCTTTTCATCAATTAATGTTCTTTTTTTTTATTTAATCGAGTGTTAAAATTTTAAAAAATTAATAATTAATTTTTTTCACACAAACTAACAATTATATAATATATATGATATTTTTTACATTTATACGATAGTAGCAAGGATTTTTTTTAAAAAAAAGTTGTTTCACTATACATGCTTGTTCTTTTTCTTTTTCCCTTTCTTTTTTTCCATCAATTTAGAACCGACAATTATATAATATATATATGATATTTTTTATATTTATACAATAGTAGTAAGGGTTTTTTTTTTCTAAGTTGTTTCACTAGACATGCGTTTTCTTTTCTTTTTTCTTTTGTTTTTTTCCATCAATTTAGAGTCTTATTTTGTTTTTGTTTTTTTTTTTTTTGAAAAATCACTATTCATTCCTGTAGCTAGGTTTTTTTCTAAAAAAAAAGTTGTTTCACTATAAATGCCTTTTTCTTTTTCTTTTTTTTCGTTTGTTTTTTTTTCCCATCAATTTAGGTTCTTTTTTTATTTAATTTTTTTTACTTTCGAGTTGTTTCATCAAATTCTCGCTAGGTTTTAACCAGACCTCCCTCCTACTTGCTATTGTTGCTGCTGTAACTATCCAACAATAACTCCTCCTCTAATAATTGTAGCTCTCAACCGCATTCTCTTCCTATAGCCCTATTGTTTTCATGACAATTTTTCCAAGTAGCTATAGCTTTCAACTAAATTCTTCTCCAACAGACTCCTCCATAACTACTAAAACTCATAACAACAATATGTTTAGTAGCTTTTTCCACAACAACAAGTTTGACCAATATAATCTATCTAACAATCCACACGATATCAACAATTGTCTAGCTATTTTTGTTGTTGTAACAACTCTCCAACAACGACCAATGCCTCGTTTAATTTTTATTTACGCCTCATCCCACTCCATTCTACTATCAAATTTCAAACTATAGCAAAAAAATGATAGTTCTATTGTATGGTTATATACCTCCAGTACATTACTTACGATCTCTTGATTGTGCTTATTATCTACATATCATGCATCCTCCTTCTCACAAATTAGCTCCATGGTCCGTACTGCATATATTTGTTGGGTATGTTGCTTCTTACAAAGGTTATCACCGCCTTAATCCTTTCACCAACAAGATTGTAATCTCAAGACATGTTACATTTGATAAGGCTTCATTCCCTACTCGGTTATTACCTTCGACTCTTTACATGCACAGTAGGTCTTCTCTCCTAAAAAACTCTCTCATTTTTTACCTTTTTTGGGACCGTGCCTATTTCTGAAAATTTAACTTCTTCTAACTCACATGTTTTAAATATTGTTATGGATACCGATGTTGTTGTTTCCTTTCCAACCGCATCCTCCTCATCTTTTCCTAAAAGTTCGTCCGCACCCCTATTGTCTTCCTCGGCTTTGCACACCTCACTAACACTAGCAGTTTCTTCCTCAACTCCTCACGAAGAGTCTTTGTATGCTCATCCTCTTCGAATTCACCTTATGGTCACTCGCACTCAAGATGGCACTAGAAAGGTATGGGTTTTTCCTTCACTTTTAGCTTCCACCACTATCGATCATCTTGTTGAGCCTTATTCCTTTAATGAGGCATGCAAACATCCTCACCGGGAAGCTCGCTATGAAAAATGAATATAATGCTCTTTTTGCTAATCATACATGGATTTTATTCCCACCACCTTCTTATCTAGTGAATGTTATTAGCTCTCGATGGGTCTACATGTGTAAATTTCGAGCTAATGGTTCTTTGGAACGTCACAAGGCTTGTCTTGTTGCATAGGGATATAATC